GAGTCACAGTGTGGGTTTGCGTGTTCATTTATTAACAAGGTGAGTCAAGAGCTACATGGCTCACATTCTCAAATAATGAGACATTTTTCTGATGGAAAAACTCTGTGGGGTTTTGTAACTGAGAGCTGAGTCCTATCAGCACACATCATCTCCACTTTACATAAAAAGATCATCTTGATGTCCAGGTTGTTTTGAATTGTTTTTGAGGTTTGATTATTGTGCGTTGCTTATAGTCTCTTTCTTTGACAAGATCAGTCTTGTTTCTGTTTTACTTTAGTTCACTCCTTAGATTTTCTAGTTTATCATGTTTCTTTCTTATTTCTAGTTATTCCATGTTACCATAATTTAATTATCTACTGATTCTTTCCTAGTCTGTTGTGTGCTTTCCCTCACCCCCAGTGACATTTTCTCTCTCTCCTCACACCCGCAAACCTGTTACCTCATCAGCCCAGATCTTTTGTTCCAGCATTCACCCTGACAGTATTTTACTTCACAGGGAGCCATAGCAGACCAAAAACCATAAATCCAAGTAAAAAGCCAGCAGGGACCACAGAGAAGAAACAGGGAGAGGAGCAACGTATAACAGGAGGAATCAGCAAGGAGTGTGAGCAAGAGAGACGTTTACACATGCTTGCATCTGTCTAAACATAAAGTCTGCACTACAGTGGTTTAGATCAAAGCTTTAGAATGGGCTAGTCCAGAGGTTCAACATTATCTTTTGTCAAACCCTCGCTAGGGACCATGAAGTGCTTTATGGACATTTTGCATTCAGAATAAACCCAGAGGGTCATGTAGGTTTTATCGTATTTCCTGTTTTGTTTTCCGTGCACAACAGTCACTGACTTACAATGACTAGAGCCAAATGAAGAGAATGTTTTATTACAAGACTATAGTCATAATACCAGATAGTTTTATTACCAGAATAATATTGTAATTTTATAAGAACTACTATTCAAAACTGTTAAAATGAGGACTATTGAGCATTGTAAATTGTACGTTGCATCAGTTTCTTTAGCAGGAATTTTTTATCACGTCAGCATCAAATCATCAGTCGCAGGAGTTTGAAACTATTTTGCAAATGATTGAATCAATTTCAAAGAAAGAATCACCCAGACTTTCTGTGCTGGTCTCTTGAGATCTTAGTCACTATTTTAACTTTTATCTCATAGTTTTAGGGATTTCTTCAGCTAATATTTTGTTTATTCTGATCATATTGTGATTTTCTTGTCATTTTGCTATGATTTTTTTGTTTTTTTACTAAAACTGAAAATTTGTTAGTCTTGCTCTAATTCAATCAATAAATTACATGCTATTTTATTCTTCTCTATTCTCATTACTTCCCTCTGCAGGCATTTTCTTTTCACTGTCACAAACTTCTCCAGTTCTCATCTGACAGCTTTGGAAGCCCGTTTCCGCCACCCTGTTAAATCATCTCAAAATAAAGAGATACTATCTCATTATAATGAGATACTATCTCAAAATAATGAAATAGTATGGGGTATTTTGAGATACTGTCTCATTATTATGAGATTATTTATTTATTTTTTTAACAGAGTGATGGAAACGGGCTTCCATAGACAGCTGTGTATTCTTCTTTCCAGTGTACTACTTGTTCTACTGGATTTAACAGACTGTTCACTGCTGCCACCTAGTGACTGGTGGCAGTCACTAGGTGGCAGTGGTGTTTATGGTTAAGCATAAAAATACAAAAAAGTCCACTCCACAGTGACACCTCACTACTGTACTAGGTAAGTACTGTACAGCAAGTACTGGCCAAGTCCAAACCTAATTTGAGATGTTTTTAGTGAGAAGAACAATTTCTCTATATGTGTAAAGGTTGTACAGACAAACCTCAAGACTATCAGCTGGAATTGCAATAGAAAAGGGGAGCTGGGGTCACAAATGTTTACCACACTGAAAACCATAAATCATTTTCTTTTCACTTTCACAATGATGTGTGATGCTTCGGTGTAAAATGAAACTCTATTAAAACTGGTCGTCGTGTTACAAGGTACAAACTTGTACAAGACACTGTATACAGTACATGATATAGAACAAAGCAGTTGTTGATCATAATGACATGTCAAGTTTGAACTCTGGACCGTTTGTAGAATTTTCTTTGTATTGATTTTTTTTTATTGTTCTTTATTCTATTTTCTCACTATAAATCTGTTTTAATCATTTATCACAAAAAAATTATATGGTGAACATTCTAATGGCAAAATATAACCGATATGACTAATTGCTCCGCCTCTTTAAATGGACAGATCATTGACACAATAAACAATGAATGTGATCTCCAGCTGAGATGCTCATTAATCCTCAGGTGTATGTGATGGAGGGTGGATAAGAAAACCACTGAGTGGATTACAGATTGTTTGTGTTCCTCTGCATTATTGGAAAGGAATACAAACTTCAAATTCAGCTAATGCAACACCAGTGTTTTGTTTGGCTGTTTTAAAAGCTGTGCTTCCTTCATAAACAGTAAAGTGCCCTGCTTCATCCTCTGGTCATCCCCTCCTCTTCAATAGGTTGCATAAATAATGACTACATGGCTGATGCATAATCCTGCAGAAAAACAGAATGGAAAAACAAAAGAAATGACTACATGATGTCCAGGTCTTGCCTGGGGGAGAAATTATGTCTGCAGAACAATATCTGCTTTTTACACAGTGCTCAATATAAAAAGACACATTTGTCTTATGAGGCATTTTTATTTGGCTCCTAATGTGAGATCAAAATCTTTTCCATAAATCTGCGTTACAGGGATTGATGAGATACGCCTATTTTCATCAGTTGGTGGGTGTTAAAGGCCAGGCCGAAATTGGAAACAACGTTCTTCGTCTCTTATGAAAACTAGTCATAGCCACGACATCCACCTTTAATGAAAATGGGCTTTAATGCATCTAGTGCTGTTGAATAAAAGTTGCTGTCAGCTCCAAACGCACCTAAAAAGAACAGGGTGAATGTATTACTTAAAGCTCTCAAATGAGCATGCTTAATGCATATTAAGCACATCACATTTTCATCTGCTGCTTTAAAAGCAGGCAATGTTACAGTTTGCTCTCTGTTTGAATAAAAAACAGCATGAAAACACAGAAAACACAGAAAGCCATGTGATGTGTAGTGGCGCAAAAAATGTGTCGTGTCTGTGATCAGAGGCCAATGTTTATTATAAATGTACCATCAAGCTCAAAAACTTCCACTCATCAGAGCCCCCACATCATTAAATGATAATGTTGACAAGGTCTGGTGCAGAACAGGTTCAATTTCATGGCCGTCCTCATGAATAATCTGATAGAATAATGGATTTATCTGCATGCATAAAAAGCCACTCTTGTTCCAGTGAGCACATTCTGGATGCCCAAGAAATTTCACTGTTAAGACTTAAGGTGTAAAATGAAAACCACTAATTAACATTCAGCCTGTGGTAAGGTCATAGCGGCTACATTTCAATTCATAGCAGACCGCTTGAGAATCAATCAAAGACTTTTCGGCTCAAGAGGTGCAGCAGTGAGTCATTAGTGGATCATAAGTCTGCGGATCCAGGCTGTACGTCAAACTCTATAATGTGTCAGTCATTTCCATGTAAATTTGGCAAAAATAAGACAACAATGTTGTGCTGTGGGTTGGATCAGGTTGCTTGAACACCTCAACAATTCAGAGATTATGAAGCAGGACTTTCCCTCCAACATCAGTTCCCAACATCATACATGTCTGTCTGTGATGGTGGCAGCATGTTGGAGTCGCTCTGTTACTTTCACTCTGATTCATTCTCTTTCAAAATTTGCATTTCTCCTCTTCTGGCTTAAACATTTATTTTCTTTGAGAATTATTCCCTATGGTTTTTGACGCTGTGCATCTAGAAATAATTTTTGATTTTACTATTGTTTACTTACTGCTGAGAGAGAGCGAGAGACAGATTTCAAAACATACTTTATTTCAAACAAAGAGTATTACAATTAAAGAACTTGAACACCACACAAAAAGTCATAACATTAAGTTAAAGTATACAAAAAACAATAAGCTGAGTAGGATAAAACAATATCTGCAACTATTGATAAGATAAGATCATTTTATTAGCCTTCCATAGGAGAAATTTGTTTTAGAAGCAGGGGGAAATGGCAGTACAACAATAGAAGCTCATCCAAAAGGAAAAGTAAATAAATACATACAATAAAACCCAAAAAATACATAAAAGCACAAATGTCAGATCGGCAGCACATCCCCTTAGCCATTTCCATTCGCATATAATATATCCTCTACATGCTACTCTTGATCACCGTCTGGGCCTCCAAATAAACAGTCCAGGCTAGTCCGCATTCATCAGGTTAATGGAGAGTGTAATGGAAAATGTTCAATGTGTTCCTCGCCCCTTTTGTGCTTTAGATTGTGTCTGATGATGAGATCATGCGTCTGCAAAAACAAAACAATAGAACTCTGTTGTAACCTAATACTTTGTTTGGCAAAAGTCTTTATTCATAAACAAAGAGTGTTGAGATCATCCTCCGTTTTTGACATTTTTTTAAAATCTGAATTTCACTTATTTGAAATCTCTGAAATGTATTGAATCACATGAATACCTGAAGAAATTGTTAATGGAATTACACACTGATGCATGTTAATCCTAACATAGGAATCCCCTCATTGCTATTTTAGTTATTATTTAATTTTATTTATTTATTTTTATCGATATTACTTTGTATTTCCATTTCTAAATCTGCTGCTATGGCTTCTATGGAGTCGCGCTGTTATATTTGCCTTACTTATTGTACTTACTTTGTTTAAATAAAGTTTTTTTTTTTTAATCAGTCTAATAAACGTCACTGCTCACACAGCCAGTGATTGGTAGTTTCTGCAATGGGGGCGTGTCATCTCGTCTTTCATTGGTTGGAGTTTTAAACCTCCCTGACCTGGTTGGTCGGAGAGGTCGGCGTGTGATTGGTTGATTTCACTGCCTTCAATTTTAAAAACGCTCTGCTGCTGGTCGGTGGTCTGAACAGCTGAACCAAAGATAAGAGCTTAAAGCGCTTTCACTTCATCGTCTAGTCACGTTCTGGTTTTAGGAAACAGCTGGATTCGACGCAATTCTGCAGAACGCTGCAGTGACGTTTCACTGTGCAGGATCTCAGTTTCACTCAGTTCAGCGGTGTCGCCTTGTTCAAGACCCGTCAGGAGCGAATGCGAGCCGGTTTTCGTCAGCCGGTTTCTGTGATGCTAGCCGGAGAGGACGGCGCTCAGCTGCGGTGCTGTGTGGCGGTGGAGAAGCTGAACAACTGCGGCCAGGCCACCCGGAGACAGCTCGTCCGCAAAGCCTCCGTCATCCTGGGCCGCAACGAGTTCCAGGAGCTGCTCCTGCGCGTGCACGACGGGAAACTGTCCCACAGTTACATCCTGAAGGACTTCAGGCTCTTCACCAAGTTCGCCAGCGAGGGGAAATGCACCGTGAAACTGCTCCCGGAAAACACCCAGCTGCTGCTCTCCAACTGCCCTCCCGACCGCCTGAAGCTGTTCCTGAAAACACTCAGCATCAAGCACCAGGTCTGGCAGGGCGGCAAACCTCTGACCGACCGGGACAAGCTGAAGGCCGGCCTGCCCCGCAGCTTCGAGGCCGTCAGCCCTCTGCAGCAGAAAGACATCCAGAAGGTGAATGAGCTGCGGAGCAGAGCGGCTCCCTGCGGCCTGACGGACCGCAGCAACCAGGGGCCAGCTGCAGGCAAAGGTCAGCAGGTCAAACGGTCCCGAAGTGATGCCAGCTGCAGCCCGGTGAGTGACTGGACACCACACTCTGGTAAACTGCTCCAAAATGTACTTTAATGAGAGTAACATCACTGGAATAGGATTTTATAAAAGTAGAAGTTAATAGTTTTCTATTAAATGACTCTAGTAAGGGTAGAAAGGCAAATGAAGTGTTTAACCAATGTTTAATACCATCTGACTGAATTTGTGGGGAAAAAAAATAAATGTAAAATTGTGTGCCAATTCTAGTATTTTGAAGAAAGAAAGGGTTAATAATATACATTAAAATGCACAAATTCATAAAGAAATCCTATTAGAGATTGACAAGTCTTGAAAGGGATTTAGATAACTCTCCAGCAGCACATTAACATATCAGAGCTCAAATGAAGTGACATATATCCACCTGTTAAAATGGCCCAATCAAAGTCCAGAATCCACATTAGACTCTGTGGAAAGACTTGGATTTCATGACAGAAGCAAAATCTTCAGAACAATTCAGCATATATTAATGAATAACCCAGTTATTACTGAAACATTTTTAGTAACTAAAACATATTACACACCAATAGATGCTTGAAAGCCATTATGTATGTAAGTTATGATTTCTCCTTATAGTTAACAAAAATGTGACATTTAACATTTGAATATTACATCAGATCAATAAAAAAATAAAACTTGTTTTAATACAGAAATGTAGCCTTTATGAAAATTAACATTTAGTGAAGGTTCTCAATTTTCAAAAGCTACATTTTAATCTGACAAATGAACCTCATTGGAAGGCATATTCTAAGCCATCTGGGCTTCAGAAACTCATCAGACGTTTTGGTGGTGATTACAGGTGAAGGGAAACCCCAGTAAGAGAGTCAGCTTGTCTCTCCCGATGCGGAAGCTCAGCAAAGAGCAGGCTGCTGTTCTCAGTGCGGTGCTGAGCGGCAAGAACGTCTTCTTCACTGGAAGTGCAGGTGAAATGTCTGACGCTCTGCTGAATCGCTCTTTGGCACCTCAAGATCTATATTTGAGGTATTGGGTTTTCTTTCCAGGTACGGGGAAATCCTTCCTCCTGAAGAGAATCCTGGGATCTCTGCCCCCGAAGAGCACCTTTGCTACGGCCAGCACAGGAGTGGCTGCGTGTCACATTGGAGGAACAACACTGCACAGCTTCGCTGGTCAGAGGAAACAATTTTCATCTTTAAATAAAATAACGGCTCGGGCTGTGTGCACATTTTGTTAAAACGATGCTTTCAGGGTCTTGGTGGACATTGATTGTCACAGAACAGTTTTCAAATTTTGAGTAGAGGCTCCTCTGTTAAAATGAGATTTCTCTTCCTAATAAAGTGTCAGAATGCATCTTCTTCCTGCCTGATTCTAACTGGGTTTTGTCACTTCAGAGTGTCCATGTTGACATTTACTCACCCAGTAGAAGAACTAATTAATCTGGGTTTCACTGAAGACCCACTTTATTTGTCATTAACTGATCTTTGCTCATCCGGTTGCTTTATTCCAGGTATTGGCTCAGGCTCCGCCCCCTTGGAGCAGTGTGTGGAGCTGGCCCAGCGGCCCGCTGTGCTGCAGCACTGGACCAGCTGTCGCCACCTCATCATTGATGAGGTCTCCATGGTGGAGGCCCAGTTCTTTGACAAGCTGGAGTCCGTAGCCAGGTGGGGTCAGGAGTGTGACAATATCATTACAATTTTAGAGTAATGATGAGTTTGATCTGGGAATGTCATTTAGAATGATAGAAGTCAAGCATTGTAAATAGCATTGTAGATTAAAGAGTTGTGTTACATGGTCGAAACAAAGTCTAAGTGCTACATTGAGTTCTTGGCCAAAATTGGTGTGTTTTGTTTAAATGAGCTAGTCTTTTTGTTTAATATATATTTTTAGCAGTTTATTAGTCTAGAGCCATTTTGCCCTCAGCCCAACTATTGATTTACAGGCCTTTTTTTTCTTCTTCAGACATTAGGAAAGGATTGGGGTTATGACCCACTAAGTAATTTTTCTGTTCCAGAACAACACACACTTCCTAATGAATATTAGTCCCGTTTTTCTTAAAATGCATTCAACAGACTTAAAGTGGCACTGGTGAATGTACGATTTTGTTGGACCTTTAGTAGCTTTTGACACCTTTGGTCTTCACAAGCAGACAAGTGTTCATATAAACCTCAGTGTGCCAGAACCTACTGAGCTAATTGGTGGAGTACTCTTCAAGTTTTGGATCGTGAGTGTTAAAAAAGCATTTTGAACACATTTTTTAATTATAAATTTTCACACACTTGGACAGAGCATTAGTACATTTCATAGGATCTTTGCCATTTCTTCCACATTCTCTGAATCAAATGATTTATTCTTCTAATATCTGTTTGGTGAAGACAATAATACCTCACTTTTATGCAGCTGATGTACAGCTGTGCTGTTTAAGCGTTAGGAGTTCTCCAAACAGTCTAAATCACTGCAGTCACAAACGAAGTTTCCTGGATTCAAATCCCACTGGGTTTAGGGTAGGTGTGTGTACTGCAGACAGTAGATGGAGAACGTAAAATAAATTACCTGGTTTAAAATATAACTTTTTTTTTTTTAACCAAACTCTAAGAAAATCCCTGTTTAATTATTGACCCAGAGAGCATGGTTCTTCTGATCAGGCAACAAATTGGACTTTGACTAACCAGTGGAATCTTTTTTTATTTTTATTTATTTATTTTTTCCTTTTTATCACCATAAGCTGTGCTTTGTGGATCAATAAAAGGACAGGCAAAGCGCATGCTAAGGTTACTGTCCTCGATGCAGCTGTTCTGGGTTTGATTCCCAGACCTGAACTATTAACTGCATGTCTTATTTTTTTTTCTACCCTACTTCCTGTCCAGCTACTCATGAATACAGGCCAGAAACTAAAACCTTTACAAACAAGCCATTTGAATTCAAAGTCTACTTGCACACAGAAGCAGGTATGAACAATATTTAGTAAAGATGAAGGCTAGCACCACAACGTGCTAATGCTTTAGTTTGTTTTCATTTCTCTTGTGTCATGTTTTAGAGACATTTAGGAAACAGGAAGTAGAAAAAACCCCAGTTCTTATCATATGTATTTTTTAATCAGAATTTGACATCTTTGACTGTTTTAAAACTGAACTGTTGGTTCAGTTTTTAAAACTCAGTTTTAAAAGACGTCCGTTTTTTTCTTCTTCAGTGGTTTAAGTGATGTCCTTGAAATGAACTCCCTCTGTTATCAAAACTTGAATGGTGAAGCTTGAAATTACAACGGAACAATCACTCTTCCTCAGCCTGTGTTTCTATAAACACAGGCTTTATTATTCTCAATGACAGATTAGTTACGGCCATGAGAGACTGGGTCTGACCCAGTTCTGTAGAACTGAACCTTGCTGTGTCTCTTGTCAGGTCGGTGAGGAGATCCACACAGCCGTTTGGAGGCATCCAGCTCATCGTCTGTGGGGATTTCCTCCAGCTACCTCCAGTTTCTAGAGGAAAGGAAAAGGCCAGCTTCTGCTTCCAGGTTGGTCCTCTGCAGCATTTCTTTACTGCACTGCTGAAGCTCTGCACTAATGCTGCTGACCTACGCTGGATCTTATTTTCGTTACTGGAGATAAAGCTACATGTGTAACAGATTAGGACCCTCAGTGTTGTTTTTTTCTGGTAGACTGATGCATATGCTAAGCCTGGTCTGAGTGCATGTGAGTCATTGCTGCTGTCTGTTTATTCATAATAATAATAATGTTCTTTAGTGAGCATCTTTCTTCTCTTTGCACATTTTCTGGGAATCATTATGGAAACTCATGGAAAACCTTCTGATTTGTGAACTTTCAGGCCAGGAGTTGGAGGAAGGTCATCCAGGTCAACATGGAGCTAACAGAAGTGAGGAGGCAAACCGACCAGAACTTTATCTCCCTCCTGCAGGCAGTGAGGGTAGGCAGGTAAACCAACCCCATGGTTGCCTGTGATGCTGCTGCTTTACATAATGCATGTCAATACAACTCTGATTGCAGTTGCAATAATCCATCCATGATCTGATGCCACTGAAACAAGGTTCTCTGTGTGAGCAGCTTCAACTGATCACTTTTAATTTAACTGTACCTATTGCTTTGACTGGGACTAGAAATCTTTGGGGTGTGTGAACCTCAATGAGCTGAGGCGGTGAGCCAGATTTTCTCCATGTCATTCATGAGCCCTGAATGACGTGTATCTGAAATTAAGGCCTGAAAATGCCTTGAATTTTTTTATTTATTTTTTTAGATAAGTTGGCCTTAAATACTTTGAAGTTCTAAAATTCTACTTGTTTTTTTCTGTTTTTTGGTTTCTCATGTGAATTTCTACTTCAGACAACTCTTTGAATCATGTTCATACATGTCCATTGTGTTCTATGACTCTAGGGCAGTTCAAGTTACTGGTTATTAGCTACTAGCACACACTTGCTAACTTCTTTGTTTTTTTTTTTTTTTGTTTTTTTTTTTTTAGTTTTTCTTTTGTTTTGTTTTTTGCACCAGTCATGGCAAATTTGTCTGCAGGTGACTGGAGGACATTTGTCTTTGCCATGAGCGCATTTCTGTTGCCAAGCACATTCTGTTCCGAAAAGCTTGGCATTATGGGGGTTAACGCTGTAGAGAGCATGACGCAATATCCAATTTATGTTTATGGTGATAGAGGTCTTAATAACATTCATACATTTGTGGTGGTGAAATGTGCAGAAGTCTTGTCATTGAGTGACAAAGTCCTACAGCTTTTATGCCACATGGAGATCGACAAGCTGTAACAGGATGAGGTGTGACACTTCTCTTAGCGTTGGGTGTCATGTTCCCTTCAACGGGTAACGACTGTGGAATGTTTTCTTCACTTCTTGTAAGTTTCATGTTGGATTTTACAGCTTCAAAACGAGAGGCAGCACAGATCTTGCCTCTCCTGCTAGAATTGGAAAGGGTGAATGCATTTTAGTTTCTTCTTTTTTATTTATTTATTTTTTCTCCCCTCCAAGTTATAAATGTTACACCCACAGCAGCTCCATCTCCGGTATGAGTTTGAGCTTTTCCTGAAGGAAATGTTCTGTGTCACAATAACTCAGAGTGTCGGAGGAAGTCACAGCCACGCTGCTGAAGAGCGCCTACCATCAGATAGAGCGGGACGGGATTCTGGCCACCAGGCTGTGTACGCACAAGGACGACGTGGAGCTTACCAATCAGAACAAACTCCAGCAGCTGCCAGGTCTGAATGCTAACTGCTGTCCACAACGTCTTTACCAGTGCTGCAATGAGAAGTAGCTCTGATGTGCCGTTCCTCCAGGTGTTTACTACTTGGGGGAGGGGGAACAAAACCAATGATTATTAGAAATTTTCTCCACTGTTTGTGCCACAAGAATATCAATCAGAAAACAAAAAAACAATTAAATGCAGTTGCTATGAGCAGTTTGGTGATGCAAATCACTTCTTGAAACGGCATCCTGAAGAAACCAATTTCAAATGATAATCTTTTGCAATAACGGTATTTGTGCTTATGACACTGTGAATGCTGTGCCATGCTCTCACAGCCATATGATAAAATAGTGATATGGGTTGTTGTAACCCATATAACTACCACAGAATGATGTGATAAAAATTTAAGCTTGTATCGCCCACCCGTAGTTCTGGAATCTTTTTAATTTTGTAAGACACAATTTCATCAAAAAACGTTTTAATAAAGTTTTTTTTTTGTGTGTGTGTACATTTTCTCAGTGATCTGCAGTAACTGAAGCATTTCTCCTCGTCCTGCAGGGTTATCACGGGCATTTGAGGCTGTAGACAGCGACCCAGAGCTGGTGAGGACCATAGACGCTCTCAGCCCAGTCAGCAGGCTGATCCAGCTGAAAGTGGGAGCCCAGGTAGACTTCAACTCAATGGTTCCTGCAGAGATCGACTTTGTTTACATAAAACATATTTTTAAAACCTTTTTGCATCCCAAAGGTCATGCTGACCAAAAACCTGGATGTGGCTAAAGGTCTGGTGAACGGCGCCAGGGGAGTGGTGGTCTCATTCGACTCAGGAAAACAAGGTTTGGATCAGTTTTTTCTTTTTTTTTCTGTTGGCACAATACTTGAACAGGAATACAATGTTTGATTAAAAGTCAAGTTTGTTGGGGGTTTTTTTTCCTCCTACTTGTCAGCGTGTGACAGAAAAGCTCCTCATATTTTCATTGGATTAAAACCAAGTGAAAATGAGCTTTTGTTCTTTCGGCAGAGAACAAAAGTGCAGAATGCCACAGTGATGACAGTGAGGAGGTTCATCACTACGTGACAATAGTGGCTCCATTCAACAGCTTTTCAGCTCCAGGAGATCAGTTGAATTTGCCTAATTTAGAACAAAATAAACTTCAAAATGTACATTTTTTTTGCCAGCTTTTATAATTGTACTGACCTTTTGTTTCTTCAGACAGGAGAGGCAGAGATTTCAATTTAATTATTAAACCAATTATTGTTTTTCTTGTTACTAAACTTTGTACCCCACTATCAAAAACAGAATCCTTTCTTAACACCATGTTGAGAGATTGACTCTGGAAATGGAGGGACGTGCAGAGTTGTTTTTCTACCAAACACATTTTCTTGTGCGCCATCAAACGTGAATTGATTACTGCTGTTGCAGTTATCTCACTGAACCCTGAAGCCGTGTCCTTAGTGGGAGTAGGAAGCCACAAGCCTGATTTATGGAACAGTTCTGGGTCAACTGCCACAGACACATTTAGACAATCTTCATTTTGAAGTGGAAAAAAATGAAGTGGTGCTGACAGAACCTGGTCCCAGGAACACCATCAGGTTAAAAACTAAATATTGGATCAAAAGTGCTTTGATGGTGTGACTTTAAAATAAAGATAAAGAGAGGAAAAAGTGATGATTCTGAGGTGGTTTTTACTTTCATGAACATGAAAAATAATTTACATCAGTTTCTTCTTTCTTCTCAAACCTCCAGTTGGTCGAGGCAGACGGCAGCTCATTCTTAACCAGGTTCTGGTTCTGCTGGACGATTCTTCCTGTTAAAAGGAGACTTCTTCCTTCCCACTGTAACTTCATTCATGCTCTATGTGAGGGATTGCTGTAAAGTCTGTACATGAAGCAAACAGCTGCCTGTCAACAACTTCATGTTGCGCCAATAGAGAAGACTCTTTCCTGATCCGCTGATCTACTCCCTCGTTGGTGGTCAGGATTCCCACGTGTTCGCTTCCTGTGTGGGATCACGGAGGTGCTGAAGCCGGAGCGCTGGGTGTTTAAATCCGCCAGTGGGATTCAGTTGAGCCGACAGCAGCTGCCGCTGAAACTGGCCTGGGCCATCTCCATCCACAAGAGCCAGGTGAGTCCAGGATCTGCGCTGCAAAAACACAAGCGTGACAAAGTAGTTTTCTAGTTTCTACTGCATATCTTAGTTTTCTCAATTCTGGTGAGTAACAATCTATAAAAGCTTTTATTTTATTTTATTTTTTTAAGTAAGTAAATAATACTTTAATATTGATATTTATTTTCATTTATGGGGAAAAATGTCCTTAGAATCCAATCTGCCAGTTGAACTAGTACTTTTTAATAATCAATATAAAGGAATTAACTTAAAACAAGCTTGGTGGAACAAAAGGTTTATGGTAAAATTTTGTTTATGTAGCTGCAACAGTGAATAAGTTTGACTTGAAACTCAACAGATGGGCTTACAGCTGCTTCCTCTTTGTTTCCATCTTCATCAACCGTGAAGAACGACTGAAAATAATTCTCTGAATCTTTTACAACTGATGTTTGGAAGGCATGTTTATCACACCACTCTGCTCCGGCTCCAGCTATTGATAACTAGTTTCAGGGGACTCAGGTTTGTTCCTGACTGGTTTCCACTAAACCACCTTTTTTTTTTTTCTCCAGAGCACACTATTAGAGACATGACCACGTTCCTTTTTCTCTTGATTTCCTGTTGTTCTTCAGTAAATGCAACCCAACTGTGTGTCCAAGTCTTTCTATATCCTGTTGCTGGTTGGGAGATGAGGAAGAGAGAGGAGGTGAGATTAGTGGCAACAAATCTATTTGGAAAGGAAATGACTGTTTCACCCTGCAGCCGCTGTTGCTACTACATCCTGACCCCAGACTTAGTAATTGGCTGGAGAATGGAGGACCAGGCCCTCTGGATAATTGGGATCACTGGTTGTGAGCACTGGGAGCAGGAGAGGTCTGCAGCGCAAGTGTCTGCAGATATGAAACAATTCAATATCAGAATATAAATGACCGCTTTTGTTTTCTGCTCTAGTAGTTGGGCAGTAAGGCCAACTTCGGGTCTCAATACGGACACTCCTCACATCAACAGTAACCTGTCTGCCTCTCCTGTCTGGTGGAAATGTATTTATTGGCACTGCTTCCAGGTTGGCCTTCTGCAGACACACAAGTCCAAAGGGTCTGGGACTCTAAACTCTAAAATGTAGCGCTTAAAGGGCCAGTGTTATATAAAACCGACCTTTTGAGCTGTACATCATGTTATATTATTCTGTCATTGACAAAAAAAGAACCCGGAGTGTTGCTTTGATTCTTTCATGTATGTTTGAGAAACCCTTTAATCTCCTTGGCAACCATTGAATTGTACAAAATGCCTGGTTGGAAATCAGAGGAAAGCTGGAGAAAACCTGGAGTTAATAGAGGAAATGACATCCTGAAGGCAGAGTTTCAGAAAATGTTTTAAAATTTCAGGCTGTTAAGTTCTCTTGTCATATTTGCATACCTTCACTGCAAAGGTATGCAAATATGACAAACCTTTGCAGTGTGGTCACAGACATGACCACACTGTTGATATAAAACACAGTGTGGAGTGTGAGTCTACACTAGAAAATGGCTTCAGATGCATTGGATGTTGAAGTGCCGCTCTCTGGTTGTTTTCCCTGCAGAGAGTGTTGCTCATGTTGAACAGCCAGTTTACCTATTGTTTGTGTTTCTTGTGAAGGGAATGACTCTGGACTGCTTGGAGATCTCCCTGGCTCGGGTGTTTGAGAGCGGCCAGGCCTACGTGGCCCTGTCTCGAGCTCGAAGCCTGGAGGGCCTCAGGGTCATGGACTTTGACCCCCATGTTGTCCGGGCGGATCCAGATGTTCTCCTCTTCTACAAGAAGCTGAGGAAGGAGCAGCTGCTCATGCAGGTGAGTGTGGAGCTCTCCACATCCCCCACAGTTTGGTCTGAACTAAACGATTTCATCTATAGTGTCACCAAGTTTCCAGAAAGTGAGAATTGTGATGTTTTTGTGTTCAGAACTAATTGAGTGGGTTTTCCCTGCAGGCCTCCATGGATGATTTCTATAATAAAGAAAATGCTTGACAGGCATCTGCATCTCCTGAGCCACTATGCACCATGTGCATGACTTATGCTTTTAATACAACCTGAATTTAACTTAACTCACTGGCTGAGTTCCACTGCCACCTGCAGTTCATTTCTGTGACTTGCAGTTTTTAAGTTTTTTTTTTTTTTTATCATGGCATGATTTGTAATTTATTGTGGTTTGTATTTAAATAAACTTTTGGCCTCACTATCCAAGTCTTGTCGTCATGTAGTTTGTATGAACGAGGAATAATTGAGTAAAATTTCAGCTAAAGCAACTCTACAGCTTCACAGGCTTTATGTCAAATCTAAGGCAATTCAGGAAAAGTAAAAGTCTCACAATTCTGGGGGGGGGGAAAGCTATGAATCAAAGATGATGTGAACAGCAAATTCACTGAATCCAGTGTCACTTTTGCCACATTTGGTTAGCCTTTTACTGCCAAATGGCTGACATTTTCCCTGAAGACAGTTTTTTCATATTAAAAGTTGTAAACAAGTCTTCAGACTTTGCCATGAAGTGAGTCATGTTGCCACGAGTTGTCTTTAATATTTCTGCAACTTGGTTTGGGTTGAACTTTCAGTAAAATCAGTTGACTGGCTCAGACACACACCTCTGAAAACATTTCATGTGTTTCGGATGAATTGGTGACACCAGCCGGCCTGGGCAGCCTGGAGTTAGCCAAAAGACAAATGTACTCTTAATATGTAGTGGCATATAAGTAACTTCACACTGTTATTGTGGAATGCTGCATAGAGAAAAATTAAGATGGAAAGTTACTTTTATTTATATACCACATTTCCAGCAACATGAAGTGCCTACACCACACGGAACAAAAAGTCTGGAAAAATGAATACATTCTTATGCATTTGGGCCTTTCTTCCACATGAAAACTGTTTAATATCACTAAACAATAATTAGGAAAAACTCTTAACGTAAGTGGAGATTTGAGTCTTGTGCATTACAGGCACTAATATATCCACATACTTTCTTTGACAGTTGACATTGTCCTGTTTTATTAACTTTGTATTATAATACTCTAAAGATATGTCCACACAAATGAACCTCCTGGCGCCATGTTTAATTCCTAACAGGAAGTTGATTAGCTCATAAGGTTTTGCTTTGTGCTATGCTGCCCCCTATGGGTTTAGCATGTTTGAAACCATGCCAACGGGCAGATTTGTTTGGGTTAATGTGGAAGAACTTTTCTGAAACCGATCCAGTGTACGATTTTTAAAACGATGTGATGCAGCTGTTGGTTTTTCCATGTTGGCCTCAGACTCTAAGGCTTCAAATGGTGTGATTCATTATTATTCATTGCCAGGAATAACAAAGAATGACATGATCAGACAGAATGATGAGGAAAACCTTTATTTCTAAGTGGAACAATGATTCCAAGGCCAAACCCAGAGGTAAACGTTTCATTATGGAGCGCCATCTTAACTCTGGACTGATTTCTAACACTGCTGCACCAGGGATGGGAGCAGCAGTGTTGATGAATAACAATGGTATTGAGAGCACATGATTGCAGAGGACATGCATTATGTCTAACATGATTATTAGTCGATCAGGATCCTACAGCTACACTGGGGGGCGGGGGGCGTCATTTCACATTGTGGAACAGCTTGTGTGCAACCTGAAAAGAAAGAAACAATTTACTGAAATTAAATCAATCAAAATCAGCTTCAGCATCTGCAGCGTGTTCAGAGAGGATGAGAGACCAGAGCGTCTGCTTCTGTTCTCAACCAATAAATGTCCTGAAGGACTTCAAGGTTTTTTATTGTTTGCTTTGTTGTTGTTTTTCCTGGCTGCTGGTGACCTGTCTTTCAGCTGCTCAATCCTTGCTGTGTGTTCTATAAGCACTTTCTATTTTTATTTTCTTTCTCCTGTTTTATTTGTGTGGATAATGCGAGTTTAATTTTAACTCAAGTTATTTCATTCTACTCAAACAGTCTGTTCATAGTCACATCTCTCAGAGTTTTCCTTTAACTAAAAGGAGGAACAGAAATAATCTTCCTTTGGACTTGAATTCTGGCTGAACTGAGATCAGTTTCATTTCGTTTCCAATTCATTCTAATCATATTTGACATTCTGAATGTGTGTGGCTTTTTATTTGCTAAAGCAGAAGTAAGAGTTTATTTTTGTCATGTGGCACTTTACTCTGCATTTATTCATGCAATTCATCTTTTAATTTGTTGGCTGTAAAAATTAAGACTGTAAAAAAGTTGAATAAAATATTATTTTCTAGTGATGGATTTGAACAATAAGCAGATGTGAGTATTAGCCCTGCTACTAAAGCTCAGTCTCTTCAAACTTCTCTAACACTTACACAATGGTCCCGTGCGTGCAGGAAGTCAAAGAGCTCTTCTGTGCACTCCTCTGTTGTGCTGGACCTGGAGCTGACCCTGGCTTCACACACCTCCAGACGCTCCTTCAGGTGCACACAGTGCTCAGTCTGCTCACATTTGGATCGTATCGTTTCCAAGGGGTCCTGGAAGGAACCAGAGATGGAATGGCAGCAGCAAATCAGAATCATTTCCCCCCTGGCCCAGTGTTAACCCTCACCCAGAAGCAGACGGTGCCTCGATAAGGCTGCACTGAGCGATTATTTTAGTTATCAATTACGCTGACAATTAATCAGATTTAAGTCTTTATTATAAAATATTTGAAATGCAGTAAAAGATGCAAATAAATATAATTAATTTGTTTTTTGTGATTTAAAAAAAAACATTTTATTGTCAAAAATACAATAACAGCATTCCTTTAGTGAACTCGTTATAATTTGTAGCAAAGGATGTATCTGCATAAAAAAAAGAATGTATAAACATGTAGAAACCTGAAACCCTTTATGCTGAACATATCAATACAATGCATGGTTGATCTGGTGATCACCTTTGGATTAACCAATGAATAAACATTTGTTACAGCATTGTCTGCAGTAACAAGGTAAAACTGTGCCATACAGATATGATTTTCCAAAGCAAAGTATTGGAAACATCAATCCATTTCCAGATGAATCTTTTACAATCAAATCTGTAATAGGTGGTCTTGGGTTTGTGTGGTGATGTGAAATATGTTGTTTTAGGCTGGACATGTGGTTAGCTTTTAGGCAGCTGAACACATGTGGAAACCTCTAGAAACTAGAGAATTGTGGAGCAAAGGGTTTCTAGAAAATATGAATGTAATGAATTGAAGATAACAAAGGTTGAAGTTAAGCCTGAAAGTATACATGAATGGAAAAACACTCCATCTCCCTGCTGCATGTGTCTCTGTCCCTGTTCTTGAGCAGGCAGTCATCTGCTTCATTCTCTAGCTTTACATCTGCTTCATTCTCTAGCTTTACATCTGCTTCATTCTCTAGTTTTACATCTGCTTCATTCTCTAGCTTTACATCTGCTTCATTCTCTAGCTTTACATCTGCTTCATTCTCTAGTTTTACATCTGCTTCATTCTCTAGCTTTACATCTGCTTCATTCTCTAGCTTTACATCTGCTTCATTCTCTAGTTTTACATCTGCTTCATTCTCTAGTTTTACATCTGCTTCATTCTCTAGCTTTACATCTGCTTCATTCTCTAGTTTTACATCTGCTTCATTCTCTAGCTTTACATCTGCTTCATTCTCTAGCTTTACATCTGCTTCATTCTCTAGCTTTACATCTGCTTCATCTAGCTTTACATCTGCTTCATTCTCTAGCTTTACATCTGCTTCATTCTCTAGCTTTACATCTGCTTCATTCTCTAGTTTTACATCTGCTTCATTCTCTAGCTTTACATCTGCTTCATTCTCTAGCTTTACATCTGCTTCATTCTCTAGTTTTACATCTGCTTCATTCTCTAGCTTTACATCTGCTTCATTCTCTAGCTTTACATCTGCTTCATTCTCTAGCTTTACATCTGCTTCATTCTCTAGCTTTACATCTGCTTCATTCTCTAGCTTTACATCTGCTTCATTCTCTAGTTTTACATCTGCTTCATTCTCTAGCTTTACATCTGCTTCATTCTCTAGCTTTACATCTGCTTCATTCTCTAGCTTTACATCTGCTTCATTCTCTAGCTTTACATCTGCTTCATTCTCTAGCTTTACATCTGCTTCATTCTCTAGCTTTACATCTGCTTCATTCTCTAGCTTTACATCTGCTTCATTCTCTAGTTTTACATCTGCTTCATTCTCTAGTTTTACATCTGCTTCATTCTCTAGCTTTACATCTGCTTCATTCTCTAGCTTTACATCTGCTTCATTCTCTAGTTTTACATCTGCTTCATTCTCTAGTTTTACATCTGCTTCATTCTCTAGCTTTACATCTGCTTCATTCTCTAGTTTTACATCTGCTTCATTCTCTAGCTTTACATCTGCTTCATTCTCTAGCTTTACATCTGCTTCATTCTCTAGTTTTACATCTGCTTCATTCTCTAGCTTTACATCTGCTTCATTCTCTAGTTTTACATCTGCTTCATTCTCTAGCTTTACATCTGCTTCATTCTCTAGCTTTACATCTGCTTCATTCTCTAGCTTTACATCTGCTTCATTCTCTAGCTTTACATCTGCTTCATTCTCTAGTTTTACATCTGCTTCATTCTCTAGTTTTACATCTGCTTCATTCTCTAGCTTTACATCTGCTTCATTCTCTAGCTTTACATCTGCTTCATTCTCTAGCTTTACATCTGCTTCATTCTCTAGCTTTACATCTGCTTCATTCTCTAGTTTTACATCTGCTTCATTCTCTAGCTTTACATCTGCTTCATTCTCTAGCTTTACATCTGCTTCATTCTCTAGTTTTACATCTGCTTCATTCTCTAGCTTTACATCTGCTTCATTCTCTAGCTTTACATCTGCTTCATTCTCTAGCTTTACATCTGCTTCATTCTCTAGCTTTACATCTGCTTCATTCTCTAGCTTTACATCTGCTTCATTCTCTAGTTTTACATCTGCTTCATTCTCTAGCTTTACATCTGCTTCATTCTCTAGCTTTACATCTGCTTCATTCTCTAGCTTTACATCTGCTTCATTCTCTAGCTTTACATCTGCTTCATTCTCTAGCTTTACATCTGCTTCATTCTCTAGCTTTACATCTGCTTCATTCTCTAGCTTTACATCTGCTTCATTCTCTAGTTTTACATCTGCTTCATTCTCTAGTTTTACATCTGCTTCATTCTCTAGCT